TATATATATATATATATATATATATATATATTTTATTTATGTTTATGTTCTGTGACGGGTCTGACTTCGTGGGGCACAGTGAATCCCTGCAGCAGAGATCTATCGAAGGGTACCCAATCTTTGGGGTGTATAAACACCTCTAAACTTTTAGCTTCTGGTGATGCATGCGGTGGGGGAGCAGCAGCATACTCCCAGGATGCATGCAGAGGGAGAGAGATAAATATATTCTCTGCCTTGCTGCCGGGTAGAGAAAGACCAAACCTAGTACCTCTATCACATACTAAATTAAACTCAGCATATCTCCCCCGCCGCAGCAGCAACCACCGTTGCTGCTGCTCTGTGTAGCTGCTGCAGCAGCGCCGCTGTACTATAGGTAAATATAAAGGAGCGAAGCTCTTAAGCCCATCTATACAAAATTCTTTCACTGCATGCAGCCCCATCATATCTTCATTTAGGTGATCAAAGAAAATACCACCAACACCCCGGGCCTCTCCTCTATGGGGGAGACGATAGTATGCATCAGCCCATACTTTAAACTTTGGATAGTAAGTTATATTGTGTCTATCGCATATATTTTTTAAGCCTCTATGAAACTCTATACAGTCCTCATCTATAACATATGCTGGTGATAGATCTGCACCACCACCAAACCACCATCTTATACTCTTACCTTCACGAAATAACTGAAACAAACGAAAATTTGCATGCGCTGATGGAGCCATAGGATTCTCCGGGTGTAATACCATAGATAAACCAGCAGCAAAAAAACTCACAGATGCAACGCTGCCACCGCCACACTCTAACACTCCTCCTCCTCCTCCTGCTGCTGCTGCTGCTGCTGCTGCTGTTGCTGCTGCAGCAGCTGATCCTCCTGCTGCTGCTGTTTTGGGGGCCATAAGGTCACGCAGCAACTCCTGAATTTTCTCCTGGCCGCCACCACACATAGAGAGAGCAGCAGACATCGGCAGTGAGCCCTCAACAGCGCTGACGTTTACCCCCGCCTTAGAGAAAACAACACCTTCCTGCAGCACGCGGGTGAGGCCCCCCCCCTGCCCGGGGCCCCTCACCCACTGGCTGTTACCGAAACGCTTCGCG